ACTGCAGTTGAATCCGGATGCTACCACTCGTGAATTAGCGGAAGCACTTAAATGCAGTCACCACGCCGTGGAACACCATCTGCATGAGCTTGGTTATCGAAAAGTTTTGACTCGGTGGGTACACCACATCCTTACAGACGCCAGTCGTGCAGTCCGTGTCGCTATCTGTCAGTAACTTTTGCTGCGACCCCGACGTAAAGAGTTTTTGTCAGATCTGGTTACTGGAGATGAATCATGGATTTATTACGAGAACGATACACGTCGTGCTTTCTAGCTGCCTCGAGAAGAAACGCCACCAACTCAACCGAAGCCGAGTCAAAAGAACCGCCAAAAAATTCTGCTTTGCTGTTTCTGGGATGCGCAAGGCATACTGTTTTATGAGCTATTACACAATGAAACTATAAACGCTGACAAATATTCAACCCAGCTTACCAAATTATCTGCCGCTATCAAGGAAAAACGACGAAGACGAGTCAATGTAGTTTTACTGCACGATAACGCTCGACCTCACGTCGCATCTGTGGTTCGCCGGCAGTTGGAGAACTTGGGCTGGGAGACGATACCCCACCCACCTTATTCCCCAGACCTCGCCCCATCAAACTATCATTTGTTTAGAGCCCTGAAACAGCATTTGCGGGGTAAACAATTTAATGATTTCTCTGACGTAGAGGCGGAGTTGAATAACTTTTTCGAGGCACAGCCATCAGAGTTCTGGGCAAAAGGCATCCAAACTTTGCCGGATCGTTGGCAAGAAGTCTTAGATACTAACGGTAATTACATCATTGACTAAACTTTTTTTATTGTAATAATAATAAAAAAGTAAAAACTTAAACCAAGTATCTCATTACTTTTGTGCCAACCCGATACAAACATTAGCTTTTAAGCTACTTACTTTGTTTGGGTCGACATATATTTGTGAAGCAGCATTTTCCTAGATGAACTTCATTAAGAATAAATTTCGATGTATACTTACTAATAAACATCTCCAAGATTTAATGTCAATAGCTTGCACGAATTTTACTCCAACTTTCAGGCAGATAGTTCGCAATAAAAATTCAATTGTTCACATTGATTAGTACAAAAATATACTCATACTCATAGGTAATTAGTGTGTACCAATAACATTCAAATATTGACAAAAGCTAGCACACATATACAATAAACGGTTAGGAGGAATAGTGGGGCGTCTTCGTGGATTGCACCACAGAACACGGAAAAGAGGTTAGATAGGCGATCATGCATTCTTTGTACGAAAACCAATGTCGCCAGTCTTGCCCCACTTTTCGTCTGCCGTACATCAGACTAAATTTTAGACCAATTATACTAAAGATATGCACACACTTGCATTTTAAACATGCCAATCAGAACGCTCCAATATAACTATAACCAATCACGCTCAACCGTAACAGACATCAAGAATGCGTAATAAACGTGTAATAGCCATTTTAATTTGACATATTGCACTAGTGATTGACATAGAGTTATTTACTATCGATATTGAAAAAACAACAAGACGATTAATTGAAAGGATATTGGAGTAATGATTTCTTTATATTATTTTGGATTTTCATTGAATGGACATTTAATGTGACATTATCTTTTTTCTTTAGATATTAATTGTTATCAGTTGTTTGATTCAGTAAGAAGTATTTAAATCACTTCCTAATAATTGACTAACATTGAATCGGTACTAGTCGTGCTTAAATATTTATTTGCATATAAGTATGTTTGTTTATAAATAATAATAGTAGGTAATTTTTTTACGTTACGTTACTCGATTTCGTATCAAGTAAACAGATAAGATCGGCAATATCGCTTAAATGAAACAGAACAAAAAAATACAATTAGCACAATAAATGCTATTGGAATTTACCCCGGACGGATTCCGATGATTTAATAAGTATTGTTGTGAATGGTTCAAAATAATAAAAAAAAAACTTATCTTCTGTTACACTATTAAGAATATAAAAACAGATTCTTTCGTTACACCGCAGTCATTATTAAATTAATATACAAACGCATACCAAACGAAGTCAATATGGTAGTCAAGAATAGAGTTACATTTTATTTATTGCTATTGTTAATCTCTGATTAAATTTATCTTTTATTACCACTATTTTTATCGTCCTTACTTTTATTTAGTTTTTACTAACTAACACACCAAGAATCGATTAAATGTTTCCAGGCACTTCACTAGCCATCTACCGTAATCTATTATGTTACTATTTAAAACGGTTATTTCGCGATGTTCTTTGCATTACGTGCTTAGTACGACGCAATGTAATAAATATGCGTACTTATCCAGCAATGTCTATTTTCTTGGAAATATTTTTTGTGATTCACACTTGATAACATTCCACGAATTTCGACTAAAAATACTAAATTTGAGAAGTGTTCTACTTACTAATGGAAAGAAATCCTTCCTGTGGACGTACTTGAGGATGGGCTTCTTGTTTTGCAATGAATAACTGCGCAAGTCAGCATTTTTAACACTTTTAGTGGCGTGTATTACAGTGCTTACAGCGCGCGCGTTCGTAAATGACTAAACATCGCGATCGCGTGGTGGTCACGATCCTGTACATTTGTCCAGGATCGTGGCTACACTGCCACGCCCACAAGGCCCTTCTAACGTCTTTCTGTGTTCTGTGGATTGCACTATCCGTATTATCGCATACACAACTGTATTATTTACGTACGTAAGTACTACGTATTAGGGGAGATTGAGTCACAGTGAATTGCAGAGTACAGAGGATCATTCACTATAAATCAGTATGTGTTGCACTCACACACACTAAATATGTATTTGCCGCTCGTCTACAACTCATTCCTACGCACTAGTTCTCGACGCGGTATCACAGCGGGAGGCCGCGCTGCCCCACTCCGGCCTGTCGGTAGGTACCATTGAGGTATAATGTACTAGAGAACGCACCTCAAAGCGAGTTATTTCGCTACGCATTGTGGTCCATTGGACAACAATACCTCAGTCAGTCTTCGACGTTCGACTAGACGCCACGTGTGTTCTATGAAAATTAGAAATTGTCAAAATACCTAATAAAAGATATACGCCCAATGCGTAATAAAAGATTGTTTCAATCATTCTCGGAAATCAAAAAAATGTTAAGGTGTCACTTTTCACCGATAAGTGAACGAAAAACTATTTGTTTAGAGCTAAATTATATTAATTATTAATATCACTTTGCAAAAGCATACCGCGTCATGTTATTGGGCGTATATCATAGATTAGACCGCGCAGATATGACACTTATGCCCATTGTCCACGTAACCGCACTTCATACGCACGTTTTCGTCAATTGAAGATTGCAAGACGAATGCTTGCATCTTGCGTAGAAACAATGAAATCTGTGTCTACGAAGTAGAGATGTTCGTTATATTAGATCGCTGATAAAATAATCTAATATTTATAAATAATCATATAGCCTATTATTTATTACTGCTGGCAAGCGTTATTTAAATCAAACGATTATTTTGAAATTATGAACACGAGCGTTTGCACACTGCGCGAAACGAAACGTAAGGCCAACTTCACTTTGCTGTGATTGAATATTTTTGTCACCTGCCAAATTATGCTTTAAGACCACTTATTAAGATCTATATTCAAATTAATGTCCAGGAATGAATAAATAACCATTATTTTTCGTCGTATAATACTCGTTAGAAATTATGCTCTAAGGTGACCACATTAGAACTATATTCATAAAATTCCAGTATTGAAAAAAGTGCAACTAATATATTTTGAATTTTGATTTTTGATCGTTTACGATTATTTTTTAGTTTTTGAATAAAAAACGGTCAGTGCAGATTACTCGCTTGACGTAGTTTGTGTGTTATGCGTTTATTGATTTATAATTGCAAATACTCGTAAAAGTTCGTTTTAGTTTAGTGTGTGTATTATATTTCGTGTAAAAAATTTGTTAGATACTTAGTTGTTGTGTAAATATTTTATAATGCCACGAAAAGGACAAATGTGGAATTATTTTTCTGTGGTGGACGAACTTGCCAAAAAGGCGGAATGTTCCTATTGTAAAAAGACTCTGTCGTTTAAAACTACTATTTCTAATTTAAAAAGCCATTTGAAACAAAAGCATTTAATAGTTTATGAAGAAATTTGCAGGAAAGAAAATGAGAACGGTAAATTAAATAATAAATCATTCGAATTTTCTTCCAATAGGTACCTATTTAAAAATATACATTTTTCATATTTATTTCTTCTGTTAAACTTTTTTTTTTGTACTTAGGTACTAGAATTGCTGACTCCGGTGCTCTTGCTGGTGTGGATCCTGTTTGTGCTGGTGGTGGTGGAATCGGTGGTGGTGGTGATGGTATTGCTGGTGGTAATAGTCGTGGGATCGAGTCTCGTCCGTGTAATGATGGGGGTTTATTATCATCGTCTCGTCCAGGTCCCTCAGCACAAAATCCGCCAAAAAAGCAACGGATCATGGCATCGTATTTATCTAGACCCCTATCAACCACTGAGAAGACCAACCTGGATAAATTATTATTAAATATGATAGCCATTGATTGCCAGCCTTTTAGTATCATTGATGATGAGGGCTTTAAATCATTTTTTTATGGGTTAAACCCCAATTATAAGTTACCCGATCGTAAAACCCTCTCGACGACCCTATTGTTGCGTGACTACGAAGTAGACATGCGAGCCGCGCCGAGCTCGGGCTGCGCCGCCGCCGCCGCGAAATTTGCCCGGCGCGCCGGCCGAGGTGATTGAACTCCGCGCGACTTGTCGCGACATGACTGCGGGCGATTTGTCGGCCGACCCGGGCTGGGCATTTCATTACATCAAAATTCGTTCACAGGATCGCACGTGCGGTCAATAACTAAAAAAATGACAACCTTCAAGAACACTAAAATTAAACAGTTTTCGGTGTCTATTTTATACGACGCCAAACTGAAGACAAGTTTTTGTTGGCGGTATTTTGGTGATTTAGTTATCGAAGAGGATAATAGAAAGAGGAAAGTGTGCAATGATCAAGTGGTTTTGCAATGCATGCTTGTCTGGTGCCAAAGAAGAGAATGATGAAATATCATTTGGATTGTAAGTAGCTCACTCGCCAACTTATTAGTAGGTTTAACCTCAACTATTTATTAGGTTTTACTTAGTATGTAAGTATCTACCTCTTACCTACGAGTATTTATAATCACAATTTTTTTTTTTTTTTTTGACGCTGAGAAATGCATTCCGCATGTCCGCTCCCCCCATGCGCTGGGGTTCACGGGGTCTGTGGGACTCCTCCTGTGGTCCCACCCCCCGAATGGGGGCTAGACAAAATACAGGAGTTTACCCACTAAAACTCAGCGATGTCCCTCTCATGGAAGGCGATGCACGGGATCGGCCCGGAGGCCATACACCGCGCGGTTCGCCCCCATTTCGGCCCGCCCTGAAAAGGGCAGGTCCCTCGCGGGTTGGGCGGCACATCTCAGAGACACTCGAGACGTACCCCCCAGACGGGGCGGAGGCGTGCAATGCCGGCTGGTGCGCGAACCAGCCAGCTGCCCCCGACTAGGGACCAGAGATGCGCGACTGTGCATCTCTAGTGTCTTTCCCATCTATTGGAAGGACCCCACACAGGCAGAGCCTTTATCGTGGATCCCTCCCCCCGTACGGTCGCAGCTACCACCGGAGTACGGCCCGACCACAGCCCTGAAAAGGGGCGCTATCAGGCCTCATCAACCGGCTCCGCTGCCCCTCTCTGCGTGGCCCCGGAATGGTTACCGCCTGGACCGGATGCCACACACACCAAAGCGGTGTGCGTGACTGCCGAGCCAGGCACCCAGACCGGGGCCATGGAGGGAATCCCCTTACCTGCGAAACGCAAGTCGACTCCCCATGTACCTCTCACTAGCAGCGACACAGGCGCACCCGGCAGACGTATCCCTGCCAGGGAACCAGTCAACTGCTAGCCGCTCCAGCTGTCCCCTCCCCAAGAGAGACAGGCCCGCTAACGCGTGTCCATCACCTCAGGGAGGTCCTCAGCTGGTACCGCACGAGTACCACGGGGCACGGGAACCAACCGTGACCTCAGGGCGGGGGTGGGCGCGCATAGCGACGCCTTCTACCCCCCGTCCTGCGACTGCGGCGAGAGCCGGCGAGGGCTGCCAGCTCACGAGCTCTCTCCGCTTCCTCCTTCTGCGACATCACGGCCTCGCAGAAGGAGGAGACCGCCTCCCAGGACCTGCGGCTGCCCAACATAGACCGAACTACGTTGGGGAGAGACAGGTCCTGGCCCACCACCAGCGTCAGCGCGTATCGCTGGGAGGACCAGGCACTGCACACCTCGAGGGTGTGTTGCGCTGTGTCCTCCGCAGCACCGCACTCGTGACACTGCGGTGTGTCCTCCCTTCCGATTTGGTGCAGATACCTGCCGAAGCAGCCGTGCCCCGTGAGCATCTGCACCAAACGAAAGGTAAGTGCACCGTGCCGCCTGTCCTTCCAGTCACTGAGGACCGGTTGGATGGCGGCAAGAGTGCGGACTCCGGCGGGTGAGGACTCAAGTCTCGTGGCCCAGGCCTCCATGAGCTCCTCCTCGTACTGCCTCCTCAGCGCAACCATCTCCACTGGTGCCAGGCGGTCGCCCCTCGCCAGCGACTCTTTGCGAGCCTTGTACACCTCCGTGAGGAGCTTGGCTTCAAGCTCCCACGGAGGCATGCCCGCTAGTGCACCCGCAACGGCGCCAGAAGTGGTGCGGTATGCGCGGATTGCGCGGTTCGCAACTGTTCTTTGGGGACCCCTCAACAATGTCCTGTTATGGGCATTGAGGGAGTCAACCCAAACCGGGGCGCCATACAGAGCCATGCTCCGTACTACCCCGGCGAACAGTTTGCGGCAGACGACGTTGGGGCCACCGAGGTTAGGCAGCAGTCTGCCGAGGGCGTTGGCGGTCTTCAGCAGTTTCGGGGCCATCTGGTCGAAGTGGTGGGTAAAGTTCCACCGACTGTCGATCCAGAGGCCCAGATACTTAATGTGGGGATCGATGCGTATCCCCACATTATCCACCGTTAGATGTGCGTCAGCTGGCAGCCGATATCTGGGGGGGTGGAATAGGACTGCCTCGGTCTTCTCCACCGCCACCCGCAGACCCAACCTACGGATGCGTCTGATTACTAACTCGGTCCCTACCTCCGCTAACAATTTGGTGGATCTGTATGTCTTCCCCCGTGCTGTGACCAGAGTGTCATCTGCATAACAGATGACACTCATTCGGGGGAGAACTGCACCTCGGAGGACCCAGTTGTACCCCATGTTCCACAGGAGTGGCCCAAGTACCGACCCCTGTGGAACGCCACACTCCATCCTGCGGGACACAACCTGGCCCGAGCTGCCGACATATAGGACCTCTCTGTTGCGTAGGTAGTCCAGCACTACGCGACAGAGGTATTGTGGGACCTGGTGGTAGGTTAGGGCATCCTTGATGCTGTAGTGTGTACATCTCCAACCTCATTATAAATAATGTGATTAGTATAATAAAGTCAGTCAAAACGCAACATTTGTCTAATTCACACGTACTCCCAGGTCCCCACATTGCATGGCGACCCTGCCAGTGCTGCCCGTAGGCAGCGCTGCGTAGCTGGTTTTTTTTTTTAAGTATAATTAAGTGCGCGCGTGCGTTGTTAAAAACAATAATATATAATAATAACACGAACAATACAAAATAACAATATGAACAAAGTGAAAAATATATAGTATGGATAATTTATAATTTTAAAATAAATTTATCTGTCGATTGCTGAAACAAATAATACCTACAAATAATTGGTCAAAATATATTTACACGAAGAAGATAAAATTATGGGAAAAGTAGAATATTTGGTAAATTGAAAGCTGGGAGCGGGGAGATGAAGGAGTCTGATGAGGAGCAGCTGGGAGAAGTTCCGGTCATTGGGACAAATGGATATAAATGGACTGGCAAGAAAATATCATAATTCCAAAATCATAAAAACCAAACAAAATATTCATGGTTTAAATTAGAATTCCTCTTTTAACGAATAGTCAATATTATCATCTTGTTTATTTGTATTTTAATGTAATTGCATTGAAATTAGGATTTCAATATAATAGATTTTTTTTTCAGTGTAATTTTTTATCAATATTAACCATGTGTACATAAGTTTGTAATAATTATTAATATCTATATCTAATTTCAGGATTGCATTTATACAAAGATTTGACACCTAAAAGGAAGTAAAAAAAAAAAAAAAATTTAAACGCCTATATCGAAAAATGAAAAATGATATCTGTTTCTTTTTGTATGTTTTGATTATAGATTACATATATATATATAATAAGTCTTTTGAACAACGAAAAATTATGTTAATACTTTTATATAAATTGGATTTTATTTGGTATTACTTCATCGTTTATGAGAATTACACATAGTTACAATTTGCATTTTATAAAACCATAGTTATCATATTTGAAAGACTGCTAAATTGATATTATAATTAATTTCATAATTGAGTTCAAAACTGAACAATAAAGTATCTACTTAGTAACTAGCCACACGTGTAGTATGTATGCATTTATTAAGTACGTGCAAGTTGTCTTTGAGATTAAATTTGGAATAAATTTATTTATTGGTCATTTGGAAAAATTCCAATAAAGAAGAAAACAAGCTAAAATACAAAAATAATGTTAAAATCCTTCGATGGTATAACATTAATTCAAAGTTGGTATTGAAATTTTAATTATTCTACTGCTTCATTAAATTATGAAAAGAAATATTTAGAAAAGTAGCTAATACTACGAATATATATAAAGTATCGCAAAGCTTATTAATGATGTTACATATTTATATATTATTGTCACTTAATATCATTATTACTTGAAATCGTTATAATGTAATGAAAATCAGGTAGCTACAGAATCACTAAGATAAAGGGTATTAATTATCTTTCCAAAAATTAAACTTGACAAGATAGACTTTATTCAATATATATTTTCTAATAGAAAAATACCTACACGTAGTTTGAAATTGTATTTTATTCGAATTTGTATGTTTATCAGAAACATAATTAAGATTAATATCATTTGAAAGTATAAGGCATTATTTTTCGTAATAATGTAGTCAGGCTAGTATCTAGTTAGATAAACACGTCATAAGCAAACTCCAATCATTTACAAATTGCCAAGGTCTGCTCTGCCATAAAATGTTTATGAACGATAGACCGAAAACTGCGGGTTCAATTCCTGATCGAAACAATATCTTATAACGTATATAAAAGTACATTTTTAAAAGTTATTATCAGACATAAGGGGTATAAAATATTATTGGTTGTTAAACTTTTTATTTAATTACCGAAGTTGTAATAGATTAACCAAAATTTTAAAATAAAAAATAGTAAGTTGAAACTTTGCGATGCGCTGAATAACATAGGTAACACAAAAGGAAGTTAGGTATTGTATTTCTATATCCTTACAATGCGCAATGCATCTGTAGTTTTGCAAGCTGTCATTTAGGTGAACCAGTCATATGAAGATAAACAATATCACTTTAATTTGCCGGTTATGTTGATCTGGATTTAATATTATATTTCAAACAATAACACTGTGCAGTGTTGATATCTTTTAATAATATCGTAATATGTGTTTATAGCAAACTTAATCGATGTCGTTGAAACAATTATTGAAGTAAAGTAAGAATTATAACAAGAAATAAAAATTAGAAACGAAATCTAAATGAAAAAACAGGTTAAATAGGGCGTAATGAAAAGTTTATTTAAAAATAATCAATTATGAAAGTTGTATTAAAAATATTAGGTACAGACGAATAGCGCGAGAATATAAGTTGTTGAATGAGAATGTGAATTGTATTAAAAATCTTTTTGTAACTTAAAGTTTGCAATTAGGTACAGTATGGATGAGAAAAGAAAATGGTAATGTGTTTTTATTATTATGAAAGTTTTGGAATGATATGTAAAAGTTTATATTTGAATGTTTGATAATAATTGGGTTCGTAAAATTACACAAGCCGCTGGACTGATCACCCAAGTGCTAAGAAATTTTTATTAATCTAATTATTTATATTTTGGAATGTAGTTTTTTTTTAAGGATTGGAATGAAAGTTTATAAGTAAAATGCTCGATTATACGGTACACAGTAGGAAATAGGTACTATAGGGATCGGGTCCTTCAGTCTTATCAATTGACGAACGAGATTCTCATTTGAATACTGTTGGAGACCAAATGAATGTCTTAATTCATGGCCCTATGAAAAGAAATGTGTATGAAAATGGTACATGGAGGGTCGGATCCTTCCATTCGATCATGGTGCAAACGAGATTTCTCCGTGAGATAAGTTGGAGTCCAAAAGAGGCTTAAACCATGACCCCCAAAATAATTAGGTTGTGGCCACAACCCAAATGGCATGATATTGTCCATTTTATATTATAGAATATGTAAAGTCGACTATAAATAAATAATAATATATGTACCAATATGAATGAATAAAATGAAAATGAAAGTACGCCGGCGCCGAGCGAATAAACGAGTGAAAAAATGCGTATAGGCAAAGTACCTACGTATGTAATGTGTTATGAAATAATTGGAAGGGGAGGGAGTTGAAAGCGTTCTTGATGTCTAGCGACACAGCAATCAACAACTCTCCCCCTCCAGTGGCGACCCCGCACTCCTTTTTCAGCTCCAAAATCGCATCGACAGTTGATTTATGGCGCCGGAAGCCATACTGTCGATGCGATAAATCTGGGCCTGTCGACTCCAAGTGCTGGACGATTCGGTCTGCAACTATCCGCTCAAACAGCTTGCAGACCTCGTCCAGCAAAACAACCGGGCGGTAACCGGAAGGGCTATCCGCCGGTTTGCCCTCTTTTCTGAGAAGGACCAGGCGGCCGCGCTTCCAGCACGCTGGGAACTCGCCCTCCTCTAAGCACCTGTCTAAAAGAGAGCGAATATGACCTCCCAGGTGTTTCAGGGAGAGCCTAAGGACTTTGCCCGGGACCCCATCCGGGCCTGGGGCTTTGTTTTTAAGCCTTAGGCGCTCAATCGCGTTCTCCATCTCCCCGTCCGTGACCGGGGAGAATTCTCCGTTCGACTCCGGAGGAGATTCCGTAGGAACAAGCGGAGGGACGTCAGGAGGGGAGTCCGGGAACAGGGTCGTGACTACTCTGTTGAGGAGTTCCTGTTCCATCTGATCCGTGGCGGGCGGGTGCTGCTTCATCCGGTTGCGGATGAGCTTGTACGGGCGCCCCCACGGATCTCTGTTTAGGTCACTGAGGAACTCCTCCCAGGCCGCTGACTTGGCGGTACAGATGGCATCTCTCAAAGCTTTCTTGGCCTCGTTGTATACCCTTTTGAGCCTTGTCTCCTCTTGCAGATCTCTATGGCTTCTGCGGTGGCTGCGAAGTAACCGTCTCCTCTTGCGTAAGCAGTCTAGCCTCAAGCTCTCCATTTCCGCTGTCCACCAATATACCTTGTTGCGCTGTTGGTGGCCAGAAGAGCGAGGCATCGACGCGTCGCAGACCTCCTTCAGGGCGCCACCAATGAGGTCGGCCCTTTGATTAGGCTCAGCTGGAATGTTCATCGAGTCCAATGCCCACGCCTACACAATCGCGGCTTCCTCCGCCAAGGATATATCCAGTTTGGCGAGGGCCCACCGAGGGAAGCGGAAGGTCTCGCCAGCATCACCAGGTTGGCTATTGTTTGCCGGAGGAGCGACCACAAACCGGATGTACCTGTGATCCGAGAGGGTCTCCTCCTCCGTTATGACCTTCCAACCATGCACTCTTGCAGCAAGAGTAGGGGTCGCAAGGGTGAGGTCTACTATCGAGCCTACCGTTTGACCGCGATAGCGCCTCACACAAGTGAACTCGCGATCCCTATTCAGGATCTCCAAGCCGGTGGAGGAGGCCCAATTATAAATAAGGACGCCCTCGAAACTAAATCTAACCTAACCTAACTAGCTAAGCTAACTTAAATGCAAATTAACTGGGTGTAACTAATTTAAGATAAAATCTAACCTATGTAACTAGCTTAGCTAACTTAGGTAAATGCAAACTAATTTCTTGTACAAATAAAATAAAATCTAACCTACGTATTTACGTAGGTGTGTACCTTTGTTTTTGCTTCGTGGTGTGTACCTACAGTATTGCTTGAATGATGGATGCGGGTGGTTATGGTAAATAAAATGTAAAATCCTTGTTTGTTTGATAAATAGTGAATAGGTATTATAAATTACAACATCTGCGTTGTCATTATGCACTGTCTATTTTAATCAATTTTAATAAAAGGTTGTTTGGTATTGCGCTATAGATATAGGTTTGTTATATTGCAAGCTATAGGTTTGTTAATTTGTTTAATGGGTTTGGGTTGTCCTTGTTTCAATATAGCATTTTGCATGTGGTTGTTGCATCTTTCTATTAAACTTGTTTCAGGGCTAAAATAAAATCTTACGTCAAAACTGTCAGTACAGGCAATCTTATCAAACATTTAAGAGATTTCCATAATTTAAAAGAAGAAAGTTCTGGTAAAGCTACAAGAAATATCGAGCAGTTTTTTCAAATACAACCACGCCGCTCACAAACAACAGTTGGAACTCCAAGCAGCTCATTGATAAAAAATAAAGATTCATGGTTACTTGCACGAGATATGGCTCTCTGGTTTTGCAAGTCTTTAATGCCGTTCGATTCGGTATCAGATGAAGGCATGAACGATTTTTTCCAAGTAAGTTTATAGAGTTACTTTAAGTAAAACTTTGATTTGCTATTTTGTATATTTAATATACCTACTCAAATAATTCGATTATTATTTTAGAAATATGACATCATCAGTTGTAAAGAAGATATGCCCTCTAGAGACACAGTGTCTCGCACTGCTCTCGACGATGTCTATGAAAGTATGCTGGAGAATGTGAAAGTTCAAATCAAAACAGATGCGGCTGGACATGCCGCTATCACGTTTGATTTGTGGACTGATCAGTATAGACATCTGAGCTACATAACGTTCACTCTTCATTACTTAACTGCTGGTAAGTCGTGTAACTCTATTAAACATTTATAATTATTAATGTTATCTATTATTATTTTCCTAATTAACCATTAATTAATCTTACTTATGTTACAGATTTTGAGTTAAAATCATTCACGTTGTGCACTAAGCTTATCGAGGGCAAAAAGACGGGAGCTAAAATTCAAGAAACATTAAACGAGACAAAAGAGTGCTTTGATCTCCAGGAAAAAGTACTCCACTCCGTGACGGATGCAGGGTCAAATGTTAAACGCGCCATTTCGCTTGCCGCACTGGACAGCCATTTGTGCTTAGGGCACGCATTGCACAACCTGGTAACTGTAGACGGTATTGGCAGTGTTCCTGAATTAGCAGATTTAATAAAAAAGTGTAAAAAGATTGTGAAAACCGTTCGTTATCGTTTACCGGACTTGGAGCGAGAGGCAGAAAAAGAACAGATTCAATTTCTACAGTCTCTAGAGCGCGTATCAGAACATTTGGAAATGGATGAAAATGAGCCAATTATTGATGATGAGGTGTCGGATTCACATTCAGTTTCAGGACTACAAACGAACAGCGATGAATTTGGTAGCATAAACCATGTGCCAAGTATCAAAACTTCGTCGCCAACCCGTTGGCATAGTATGCTAGCTATGCTAGAAAGTCTAGCACACTTTTGCAACAGAAATCCTGTTAATAATTTATTAGCACAAGTCAATCAACATGATTTAAAAATTTACCAACAGGAGTGGAACTTGTTAGAAGATCTTATTCGGTTTCTACGTAAATTCCGTGAAGTAGTGGAAATGCTATCGACACAAAAAACAGCTTCGCTTAATTTGGCCCTTGTGTTTCGTTTGGAAATCAGAGATATCCTCAATTCTTTATCAGACGAAGAAACGCTAATAATGCTATCACTGAAAAATAAAATGTTGGCAAAATTAGACAAACGATTCCCAATCACTGATAAAATTGTTGTTTCGGCATTGTTGGATCCTCGTTTTATAAGCTTGAGTCAGATTGATTCGTACCTTGAACAAAAAAATACTACTCGTGCTGCATTTCTGGCAGAGTACATAAAAATACAGCCCAATATTTCAAATCATTCCACGATGGTGGCTACATCACCTCCTGCTGTTCTTGCTAGTACTTCTAATGAATCTATTTTGTCAAAGCTTTCCAAGAAACACAGCAGCAGCAGCACTAGCTCTATTTTAACTTCTGTTGAGTTTAATGAAGTTGATCAAGAATGCTGGAGGTACTTGGCAGCTGCTAATGCTAGTGACGTTGTAGACGACGATGTCCTACAGTATTGGCGAAATAAATCAAAAACATTTCCTCACTTGAGCCAACTGGCAAGGGCTATTCTGGCAATCCCTGCTACCAGTACGCCTAGCGAGCGCGTTTTTTCTATAGCGGGACTTACTGTAACAGCTAAAAGGTCTAGGCTTAACCCAGTGCGCGTAAATAAAATAATTTTTATTCACGACAACTATACATTGTGCAAAAACGATTTAAATGCATAATTTTCTTTTAATGTTTTCTTTTCCACGAGTTGTTGAATAAATTTAAGTTCCTATCTAGCTATATGTTTTATTTATTACTCCTTCATTTAAAAGAAATATTGTTAAAAAAATAAGACCTTTTGGTCCTTTTTGGGGTGGTTGGGATCTACCTCCTAGCGGTCCACCCTGGGCAACGGCTCCACTTTTGTGGAGACGGCTAAAGATCCCAACGCGGGGTAGTAGGACCTGCGAAGGTCCGCCTGGGTCGCAACTACCCTTCCACCGGAGTCTGGCGCCATAACAGCTTGCTGTGTTCCGTCTTTGCGTGGAAGATCCAGTGCCTTAGGGCAATCTCCAGGTAAGCTCGCTCCATCTTAGGCCTCATCATTGCTGACGCGGCACGGCAGGTCTGCATGACTGAGGCCAAGAGCTTACCTGTAATAAGTAAAAAAAAAAAAAAAAGACCAAAGCGCAATTTTTGCCCGGCGCGCATGTCTACTACGAAGACCGTTTAGCAACAATTAAATCGGTTGTAAATAAAGAATGTACCAGCATGTGTATAACGGAAGACTGTTGGACATCTCGGACGATGCAGCCGTACATAGCTATCACTGGCCATTTTATAAATAAAACCAGCTTAGAATTTAAATCTATGCTTTTACAGTGCAGTCTACGAGGGTCAAACTGAAAGTTCTTAGAACTGGCCACTTATAAACAATATAATAAAAAAATAATTCTAAAATTTGAAAATATAACTCTTTGCCAATATTACTGAGTATATATTTCATTCATTTGTCATTTGTTTTACGATTTGGCGGCAAATTGAAAATTGTCTGTGTCACGTCATCATGAATTTAACACGAGAAAATTTTCGTGCAATGATTTTTTATGACTTTCGATGTCATTTAAGTCAACAAGAAAGTTATGATAGACTACGATTGGCCTTTCACGATGAAGCCCCATCTCGTGCGACTGTTTACAACTGGTTTAATGAGTTTAAACGTGGTCGCACTAATCTCACTGATGATTTACGTGAGGGACGGCCTTCTACGGCGACGACTGAAGATAACATCTGTGTTGTGCGGCGTATGATAGAGACTGACAAAAGAGTGACCTATCAACAGATTCGGACAAGCTTAGGCATCGGTATGAGTCAAGTGCACAAAATCCTCCACGAACATTTAGCGGTCAGGAAGCTTTGCGCCCGGTGGATACCTCATAATTTGACTGAGGCTCAAAAACTCCATCGTGTGGATTGGTGTCGTAAAATGATTGAAAGATTTAACGGAGGTGACTCAAATGCTGTGTTCGACATACTAACAGGTGACGAAAGCTGGATTTACTGTTATGATCCTAAAACCAAAAGACAATCTGCTCAGTGGGTGTTTCCTTTCGAGGAGTTGCCAACTAAAGTGAAGAGAGATCGAAGTGCGGGAAAAAAAATGGTGGCCTCGTTCTTTGGAAGGATAGGTCATTTTGCAACAATTGTGTTAGAGGATCAAAAAACAGTTTCTGCAGAATGGTACACTACCAATTGTTTGCCACTTGTCTTGGAAAAAGTTCGAGAGAAACGACCTCGCAGTAGGATCCTCCTTCACCACGACAACGCCTCGTCGCACACCGCCAAGCGAACGATCGACTATTTGGCGACATCAAACGTTGAATTACTGGGTCACCCGCCGTATAGCCCCGAACTCGCGCCTTGTGATTTTTATTTATTTCCAAAAATTAAAGAAAAACTTAAAGGAAAGCGGTTTATGAATGCTGAAGAAGCGGTGGCTGCGTATCGCGATGCCATTGAAGAGACCCCTAAGGACGAGTGGGCAAAGTGCTTTTCCCAGTGGTTCCATCGCATGCAGCGGTGTATTGACGTGAATGGACAATATTTTGAAAAGATATAATAAAACTAATAACTGGCTAATGTAATCAGTTTTTGATTTTCTAAGAACTTTCAGTTTGACCCTCGTACTAGAGGGAACTCACACGGGTGAAAATATTGCGCAAGCAATTAGTTTGGCGGTACAGGAGTGGAATCTGGTGGGTAAAATTAATTTTTTTGTCACCGACAACGCATCCAACATGCAAAGTGCTGCAAATTTGTTACGATTTCCCCATTACGGATGTTACGCCCACACGCTAAATTTGGTAGCGCAAAATGCCCTTGCACTTCCCGAAGTGGAAAGCACTATAACTAAAATAAAAAAAACAGTAAACCATTTTAAGCGTAGCTCTCTAGCAAAAGAGAAGCTGTTAAAGTATCAGATTAACTCCCAGGGTGTAGCTGAAGGAAGTGCATTGACATTAATTATGTCAGTGCCAACACGTTGGAACTCAACATTTTTAATGTTGCAGCGCTTCATACATTTACAGGAAGCCATCAGGGCAACAGTGCCTAATTTAAATGTAGATTTGCCTATAATACCACTCCAAGAGTGGAAATGCTTAGAACAATTTTGTGAAATTCTAAAGCCTCTTTATGAAGCTACGTTAATTATGAGTGCAGAAAATTATTTGACTGCTAGTAAAGCAATTGTTATTACGCAGGGTTTACTTAATATTTACGAACAAATGGCTACAAATATTACATATTATACACCCGTCCAAAAATTAGCCAAGACAATAAATTTAGGAATAAAACACAGATTTGCAAATATAACTAGGAACTTACATATTACTGTGTGTACGTTTCTAGACCCTAGATTTAAACATTTCGCGTTAGACAATGAAACATTGCAATCTACTAAAACGTACATTATAGATGAGATTTGTAGTATTATTAGCGAAGATGAACCTCAACACCATCCAGAAAGCAGTACTCCTGCACTTTCTCTATGGAATATAATAGAGCAAAAAATATCAACATCTCAACAACCTCGCTCCACTTTTACTAAAGTAACAGAAGAAGTGGAGATGTACCAAAAACAGTTCGTCATATCCAGGGAAAGTTGTCCTCTTGAGTGGTGGCGTGGGCACAAATCGATATATCCGTATTTGTATTCCATATTTGTAAAATATTTTAATATAATTGTTACATCAGTGCCCTGTGAACGAGCTTTTTCTAAGGCAGGACATATAATTAATGACCGATGTACGAGGCTTACGTCGACCAAAGTAGCTCAATTAATGTTCCTCCATGGCAATAAAAACTTTTAATATAACCATTTTGTGAATATTGTGTATATATTGCACCATACGAGTGTACTGTATTTATGTACTTAGTTAAAAAAATCTATGTGTAAATAAAAACAATGTAAATAACTTGTAAATACGTATTGTAAGTATATAAAATTCTATTTGTAAATACCTATTGTATATAAAATCAATGAACTTTTAAGTACGCCTGACAATGTACTGAGTGGAGTAAGTAAACTGGCAAATATATATTGCTTAAATAATATATATTCAATATATTTCAAGTCATAATTTTCTGTCAGACAGTCCTAAGCCTGTTAAAAGTACGAAGGAAAGTTCAATGAATTTATATCCTTAAATTTGTTTTATGTAAATAAAACGCTCACAGCAGTAATGTGTTGTCATTGTTAAGTATAAATATCCATTACACCCAACCAATTATTTAATGTGTAACAGGGAACGGCGTGTTTCACGACGATAATAAATAATCAAACGACAAAATGCGTCGTAGTTCCAGCAAAGTGATTTATATCAACTAATATATTATAGCGTAAAAAATAATAGGTGTTTTAAAAATAACGTATCGTTATAAAACGTTATCAGTATTTAGCCGTTGCGAACACCTCTACTACGAAGAGGCAACGTCGCGTCAGCCGCTCGTGTTGCGTTCGTCATGCGGTGCGCGCGCGCGGCAACATGTCACTACTCGACCGACTCGTCAGACGAACGCTTGCTTTTTGTGTTACAAAATGGCGGCCGCGGCGGTAAATTTTGTTAAAATTATTGAACAGTATCCGTGTTTATTCAACAATAAACTGACGGAATACTCAAGAAAAGATTTTACTGACAGAGCTTGGAGTGAAGTTGCATAAAAAACAAACACTTCTGGTAAGTAATAATAAGTTTTTTTTTTATTCAATCACACAGTAATTCCACTGCCAACGGAGTGCACAATCAGGTTTCAAAAAATAATTTGATAAATAGTTGCATAAACCATTCGGTGTGTTAACAAAAGTCATATTTGGTATTAAATTTGGCCTTTGTCTTTGTGCTGCCGATTCACTGGATGCACAGATTCTGTACTGTATTCCTTCTTGTTTACGTATGTAGTTATGTAAAATACATGTGCATTTTATTATAGAAATTAAAGTGGTATATTTGGGACATACAATGGGTTTCAAAAGAACTTGAAATTTCTGTGACATCATTCCGAAAACACATTCAATAGTTTTTCGTCCACGACGCAATCTATAATTAAATATTCTTTTTACGTTGTCCAAGTTTCTCACTGAGTATGGTCTCATTAAATACTTCTTCAAAGGAAAGGCGTTGTCTCCAACAAAGTAATATGGAAATATATTTCCAGTATTGTCATCATTTGGTAAAGGTGAACCTGAATTTGGAATATTTAAACCACCTCTTTCTAACCACCTTCCCAAAGCCGATGCCTGAAACACACCACCGTCACTATTTCTTCCAGCAAATCCACATTCTATAGCCGTAAAATTACCGTCTGCATCGCAACATCCCAACAAAATAATAGAATGGTATCCTTTATAGTTATAATTAGCAAATCCTGTGTTAGGATACTTTTGAATTCGTATATGCTTTCCATCAATAGATCCCAGACAATTTGGCAGGTTCCAAAGTTCGTGGTATCTGGTTGCAATAGCCTTCCATTGATCTGTAGATGGCACAGGCATAAAGGTGTCTCTGAGTGCGCTCCATATAACTTCTGTTATCTCTGTTACAACTCGAGATATAGTGCATTCTTCTCGAGCAAAGTAAAATTTTAGTGCTCGGAAACTACACCCAGTTGTTAAGTATCTGAAAAAAAAGACGTATTAAATTACCTGCTTATATTATGCATATTTCTTTTCAGAGGCTGATTGTCAAACTAAGTGGAGGAATATAAGGAATGGATTTGTCCGCAGCCTGAAACCAACTCCTAGTGGTTCATCTACAAAGCAAAAGAAGTTATACTATCTACACGACGAACTACAGTTTCTTCTTCCTTTTGTGAAAGCAATTGTTCACACTAATGAACCGGGAAATATACCTGAACCACCAGAGGAGAACACAAATGAATCAAGTTTTACAACTGATGAAGTCCCGTGTACTCAAAGACCTACAGATACATTGGAAACCTCATCTTCTGGCACCGATGAATCAAACTCATTTAAGAAGCCAAAAATAAGAAAAGTTACCAACGAGGCTGATAAAGCGTTTGTGGATTGGATTAAAAAAAAAGAAACAAAAACTGACAGTCCTAGAAAACTGTTTTTAAGTTTGTTGCCTGATATAGAAAATTTATCTGAAGAGCAAATGCGAAAATTTAGAATTAAGATGCTTTTATTACTTGAGGAAATTCAGTCAGAGCAATCATATCCGCCACAAGTGCCACAACAATACAGGGACAATAATTATTCTCTAGTATCATCTGTACATTCTACAAATTCATCGTTTCCAATCAATTGGAATCTCCAATCAATTATTCTGTAAATGTAAATTCTACATATTTATCACAACTGGATGAATTTGCAAACTTGTAATTGGTATTTTAAAATTCGTTTTTTTTTCTGATATTAAAATTCATTTTTTTCCATAAAACCTTTTTATTTTATACTATAGACGTCCTCAGTCCTGGGCCCCATTTCATATAAAATACTTATTACGAATTTTCATCTTTTAAATATAAAAATAACTGATAATATTTGTTCGGTTCGAGAATAGCTCGTAGACTATTTTTTTCCCAGAAGATATGCACGCGGAGCTGCGGGCAACAGCTAGGAGACTTTATTTATATGAAACAGGGCCCTGGCCACAGTAAGTAGATACGATTGTATATTTAAATTATAACAAGTATCCTTTCTTCTGGACTGACACATGATCGCATTGCAGTATTTTGTCTTTGTATCAATGGTCCAACAGTAGAGACTAAATTTTGATACGTATGTTTAGTCATTCGGTAAAATGATTGAAATATAGAATCATCTTCTGATAACTCTCTGGCAGCAACAAACAATCTACAATTTATATTTCTTTCGATGTATGGATGAATCCAGTACTTTCTTCGCCTGTTTCGTCGTCTTCTAATAAAATTGTATGCTATAATTACTTCATCATCATCACTTGACATTTTTGCAACAAAAGACGTGCTTTCTCGATGCTAGTTGAAATAAAACTGAGACGTTTTATAGCGTGATTGACTATTGCATGAAGCAGCGTGGACATATCAAATATGCAAAATACGCCTATCTTCATTTGTAGGTTGCATGCATCCTACAAAAGACGACTGTGTGGGCAGTAGGCCTTATAGGTACTAATTATTACTTAGCAATGCAAAGAAATATTAAACTCTTTTTTTACTTTACGTGATAAACTCATAGTATAAGTACGTTAATTATCAAAGGTTTTATTTTATTTCTTGTTTATTTTTTACTTTGTAATAACCATGTTAATATTTCTTTACATAAATATTATTTTGCCAATTTTATTCTTCAGGAAACTTTTTCAAAGCAGTTTTACACATTATTTACCTATCCCTATTCTCTTAAGATTTTATTAGACAGTTTTTACACATTTTGCAACTCCGTTTCAAGGTTTCTTCGGCCTGGCCATGAAAAAAGAGAATTATGGATTTAATTTGTACAAAAAATCGTAATGAGGAAACATGGTAACCAAATCAATATACATGCATTTGTTAGTTGCACTTTAAAGAAGAAGGTAAATACAATTCAAAATCTGGTCGAGTTTATTTAAAGAAATGTGCAATACCATACGATTACAAAAACGTAAGTTTTTTTGATTATGATTATTAAGCGTTCGTTTTGTGTAACACTTTGTACGATTAATGTTATTTTTAATTATTTTTTTTTAGTCTGCGCTACCTTGGACCTTCCAAACCCGAACATTCGGAATTACCGGAACCAATATCGGAACCAGTCAGCGATTCTGAATCCATTTTTGATACTCCACGTAAAATTGTACTGAAAAGAAATTTACTTAAAGAAACAACTGCTAGAAAGAATCTTGCAAAAAAATATAAGGTCTTACAAAGTCAAAACAGGTATTTAGTAAAAAATGACAATCTTATAAAAGTATAGTTAATATATTGAAAAAAAAGTTTAGTTTTGATTTTAATACTGAAAGTGATTTAATGGAAAAAGCTGAAGTTATAGAGTTGCATAAATCTTTTTTAAAGAAAAAGAAGCAGAACAAGCACCGGTCGCTTTATACAGCACCGTTGCGTAAATCTGCTCTAAAATTGCACTATTTGCGGTTATTATAATTATCCCAATGTTCTTCAATTTAGAGCTGCATACAAAAAATCATTGAACCATTTAGAACTGCGATCATCATTTACTGGAAATTGTCTTCCTTTGGATAATTTCAATGTTCTCCACACCTCATCAGAAAACATTATCAACAGTACAACCAGTTCTAACATACATTATGAAACCTCATACGAAATTCTACAAACAACACGATTGCTTGAATCTGATATAGAATCTGAAAATAATTGCAACATTTTTGCAGACATGTTAGATCATAACACTGTAACAGATGCAGCTAATCTCATTGTAGGCTACATTTCAGGCTATATATCACGAACATTAACAAAAACATTAAAATGTGAAGAATGCATAGATAGCCTGACTGTTCTAGTACGCTAGTACATTATACTTCAATGGTAAGTACCAAAACAATTTTTACCGAAGTTTTTAAATTTGTTTCATTTCTAAGTGAATGATAAATGTAGATGTTTTTTCCTTTGAATTCGTTGTAAAACGTGTTTTGATGTCCTTGAGATAGATAGTTTTTTTGTTCATATTATTTTTCCGTAACGGCCAATGGGTCACAGTGAATCGTTTCGTATTGGGTCACAATGAACTGCTGATCCATTGTAACCCGTCAAGCTAAGATTTATTTGTACTTTATTTATTACGTAAAAATACCTTGCAATCTAGTAAGGAAGGCGAGCATCGGGCTTCACACTGAAGAACAGATGCGTAACGCTCTAAGACTTATTTCGGATGGCCAAAAAATAAGAGCTGTAGCTAGATCGACTGGCATACCGTACACAACTCTATATAGGTATAATTTAAAAGTTAAAAATAATCCCGATCCTGAAAAACCAATAAGGCTTACACCTAACTACGCAGTTCATAAAATATTCACGGATGAGCAAGAAAAAGATATAGTGGATTACATTGTTAAGTGCTGCCAAATGTTCTATGGATTTACCATCACAGATGTTCGAGGCCTAATTTACGAAGTAGCGATGTTAAATAGAATAAAAGTACCAGACAAATGGCACGAAAATAAGCTCGCAGGTATTGAGTATTTATAAAGTCTCGGAAAAAGAGATATTCTATTATCGTTGAGAACTCCAGAGGGTTGCAGTTTGAGCAAAGCGACGTCTTTTAACCGCCATAAAGGTGTGTTTTTCGATAATTTGGAAAATGTAATGGCTAGACATATTTTCTTTGGAAATGGCACCAGTTTTTAATTTGGACGAAACAAATAATATGACGGTGCAAATATGTGCCAAAATATTAGCAGCCAAAGGGCAAAGACAAGTTTCCAAGGTCACTAGCGCCGAACGAGGAACCTTAACAACAACTTGTTATATTGTCAGCGCTTTGGGTAATCCCCTGCCGCCAGTGATTATATTTCCAAGGGTCCACTTCAAGCAGCATATGATTGCGCAGGCTCCCACTGGAACCTTAGGTCTAGCTACACCATCCGGTTGGATGAACTCTGAATTGTTCGTGAAAACCATGCAGCATTTTATAACCTATTAATATAGCAGCAAAGACAACCCTACTCTGCTCATATACGATAACCACGAGTCGCACATTTGCATAGAAGACTTGAATCTAGCTAAAGAAAATGGTGTGACAGTTTTGACAGTGCCGCCGTATTCAACAAGAAAACTACAGCCATTAGATGTCGGAATTTTTGGGCCATTCAAAACGGCATATAACAAAGCTGTAGATAGTTGGATGTTGCGAAATCCAGGGAAAACTTTCTCGATATATGAAATAGCGGGATGTGTCAGGGAAGCCCATATGAAAGCTATGACACCCGGGAATATTTGCGCTGCTTTCAAAGCTACTGGAATATTCCCCTTCGACAAAAATGTTTTTACTGATCTAGATTTTGCTCCAAGTGAGGTTACTGATCGACAAGTTAATGTGGAAAATAATCAAAATGAGATTAATAGGCCTCTTCAAGATAATTAATCAAGAACCCCATCGCCATCAATATTAGAGTTTTCCTGTCCTGGTTCAACTCAAGATGTTCAACTTACCGAACCTGGTGCTCCAAGTACTCACGTTGATGGAACCACATCCCCGCCGCCGTGTGAACTACAACCCCCTGGAACTCCTCACAAATATAGTCAAGCTGGTATCACATCTTCTACAATTGTGGATCTGACTGCAACTGCTTCTAAAATCCCCTCCTCAAATGTAGAAAAAGGATTCTTAAGTCCATTTCAATTTCGAGGGCTACCTAAAGCAGGTCCGCGAAAAGTTGGAAGAGCACCAAGACGAAAAGGGAAATCGATGATTCCGACTGAACACAACAAATAAAAACAAAATACAAATGAGAGAAGTGAGATGAGAGAAGAAGAGAGAAGAGAAGAAGAAGAAGAAACGCAAACAAAGAAAGGCGACTGCAAAAACAAAGAATATAAAATTTTTACAAAAGAGTTCCAGTGAAATGAAAATAATCTAAGCATTTATTATAGGAACCAATATTTGAAGATGAAGAAGATGATTATGAGATGGTGGATCCTAACAATTTACTTGCAATTCAAAGTTTGCCGATAGAAGGTGATTTTATTATTGTTGAATTTCAAGTTAAGGGAAAACGAATATACTGGGAGGAACAAAATGACCGACACAGCCGAAACTTTCATGTTAGGTTACATGCAAACGTTCATTTTATTTGACAAATATTTAAAAATAGAGGAGGTGTAAAAATGGAGTAAAAATTTTAAATATCTAAGTGTTGACAGCCCTTTAACACGCATGCGCAATATCGATTCTGTGCAGATTACAACGAACTGCGAAATACATTAATTTTATTTAATTATTTACCGATATCTAAATGATAGTCGATGCTGAAAATGTCCACTTCCTCTCTGAAGACTGAGCTAAGCACGCTCTTTTCAATGCCGCGCATGCACGCGCAAAACCCATCACATTTTACACAAAACTAAATACAATCTTCACTAAACTAAATTTAACACTAAAGACGAACACTCTAGTATCTTATTAACCAAAATTCAATTAAAAATGCACTAGAATAAAACAAAAATCGACAAAAAAGACCTTCGCAGCGGTGCGTCGACGGCGATGCACAACAACACTCCAGCGCAAAAGGTCGGCGACGACTGAGCGGCCGGAAAATACCGACAGAATAATGAAGCCGCCTGGCGGATGGATGGCAGGTGGGGCTTTGATATTGAGGGACGACCTCGGTTAACATTT